TCCCTTGTTGGCTCTTACCTACATCCAGTAAAAGGCTACTATAACAATCTTAAAATCCCAGAGGATTACATCATTGGATAGCTAAACACGGTTGTTTTAGTGTAACCTTAAAAAAAGCTGCATTCTCTAGTAACAAATAACAGTTACAATCTATTGTGCTATCAGCTTTCAAGCCGACTCATGTTTTCTACCAATATTTTTTCTGACACTTCATATATTTCTTAAAGATACATACAACTATTTAAAGGTGTATTCTTATATGTGCAATACAGTCACGTGATCGCAACTGCGATCTTGTGACTATGACGTCATTTTACTGCTAATTTTGTAATTGTTATGTTTGTTTACCTATTCATATCTCTTTATGCCAGGTATTATGTTTACTCCACTTGATAATGCCTTTTTAGGGGCAATGCATTATGGATTATATTATCTATATTATCACACTGAGAGCGGTTTAAATGCTCCAAAAATTAAAAGGTTTTTATTATTACCTACACACTTACTTATTCGGAGAGCACTATTGTGCTTCCTCTTTATTTCTGTATGGTCTATATGTTGCTGGTGGTCACGTGCAAAATATTCCTATATCCTACAAGTGGTGTTCTATTTCACTGTATACTGTATACTGTATAAACTGGAGCTGGTCTTAGTTCTATTCAATTTGAGTTGGCAATCACTCATTTATGTGTTGTGTGTGTCCCACTTGAATTGACATACTGCACCATCAGATCACTGTTTATCTCTGTTTTCTTTTGTATGCAAATATGGCGTCAAACTAGAAGAAGCCTTCTTTTTGACAAGAAAGAACACATATTTTGTTGTTACCTTTTAACTCGTGATATTTTTATCACTGCCATTATCTATTTCTACTTTCCATTATATTTTGTTCCTCATTATATGTACTGCTTCTTGGTCTACTATTACCTATTAGACTACTAGGTGCGACCTGTCTTTTGTTTATTCCTTGCTGTGATATGTATGTCCTGAGTGTATGCGTTGCCCTGAAGTTAGAGTCCGTAAGAATAATTGTGTGAAGAATATGTTTGACATCATTGTTACTGTTTATAAGGAGACGATTGAAATGCTTTGTAGATATCTAAATGTATAAATTACATAAAGTTTGCATACTCTGGCAGAAATTGTGACATTTTGGCATTGATTTTGAAAATATGACATGCAGAAAAATTATTTTATTGAAGGATAGTGATCATATGAAGCAATGTATTATCAATTAATTGTTTGGCTCCTTTTAAAATCATATAGATAACAGAAATCACGCAAATGACCCTGATCAAAAGTTTACATACCCTTGATTGTTGGGCCTTGTTACACACACAAAAGGTGACACACACAGGTTAAACTGACAGTTAAAGGATAATTTCCCACTTCTGTGGCTTTTAAATTGCAATTAGTATCTGTGTATAAATTGTCAATGAGTTTGTTAGCTCTCATGTGGAAGCACTGAGCAGGCTAGATACTGAGCAATGGGGAGCAGAAAAGAACTGTCAAAAGACCTGTGTAACAGAGCAATAGAACTTTATAAAGATGGAAAAGGATCTACAAAGATATCCAAAGCCTTGAACATGCCAGTTAGTACTGTTTAATCACTTATAAAGAAGTGGAAAATTCAGAGATCTCTTGATACCAAGCCATGGACAAGTAGACCAAGAAAGATTTCAGCCACAACTGCCAGAAGAATTGTTCGAGATACAAAGAAAAACCCACAGGTATTCTCAGGAGAAATACAGGCTTCTCTGGGCAAAGATGGTGTGGTTGTTTCAAGGAGCACAATACAACAATGCTTAAACAAAAATGAGCTGCATGGTTGAGTTGCCATAAAGAAGCATTTACTGTGCCAATGCCACAAAAATGTCTGGTTACAATATGCCTGACAACACCTTGACAAGCCTCTCAGCTTCTGGCACACTGCAATTTGACTAGACCATAATAGAGCTTTATGGTCACAACCATAAGTGCTATGTTTGGAGAGGGGTCAACAAGGCCGATAGTGAAAATAAAACCATCCCCACTATGAAGCATGGGGGCGGCTCACCAGTGTTTTGGGAGAGTGTGAGCTCTAAAGGCATGTGAAATCTTGTGAAAATTGATAGCAAGATGAAAGCAGCATGTTATCAGAAAATACTGTCCGGCAATTCTGCACGAAGGCTGCACATGGGCCTCTTGGACTTTTCAGCATGACAATGACCCTAAGCACAAGGCCAAACTGACCCTTCAGTAGTTACAGCAGAAAAAGGTGAAGGTTCTGGAGTGGCCATCACAGTCTCCTGACCGTACTATCATCGAGCCACTCTGGGGAGATCTCATACATGCAGTTCATGCAAGATGACCAACGACTTTGCATGACCTGGAGGCATTTTGCCAAGACAAATGGGCAGCTTTACCACCTGCAAGAATTAGGGGTCTCATAGACAACTATTACAAAAGACTACACACTGTCATTGATGCTAGAGGGGGCAACACACAGTATTACAAATTAATGGTATGCAGACTTTTGAACAGGGGTCATTTATTTATTTTTTTATTTGTTTCCACGTTTTGTTTTATGACTGTGCCATTCTGTTATGACCTACAGTTGAATATGACTCCCATAAGAAATAAAATGTGTTTTGCCTGCTCACTCCCATTTTCTTGAAAAAAAGTACATATATTACCAATTCTCCAAGGGTAGGCAAACTTTTAAATCACAACTGTGTATATACAGCAGCTAAAAACACGTCTCTTTTTTTTCTTTATGTTTACTTGTTATAAATGTCATGATATTTTTAATATATCAGATACTCATTTCCATTGCAGTCTTCAGTTTAAAAGCTCTGTAAAAGCCAAATGCATAAAAATATGCACAGTGTTGGCAAGGCATTGCAGTGTAAGCTGCATCGAAACTGTGCAGTTAATGGGCTAGCAGAGGGTTGGGACCTATATCACGCACCATTTAGAAAATATAACTCTTTCTCCTCTCGTGTAATTAGTTGTGTAATTTTCCTTTGTGCCCTGACTGTGCTAGCCCATTACATTACCCCTAATATGCCTCTTAACAGCTTGCACGTGCACTATTAAAATAAATACCCCGTCTAATATCACTGAGTTGAAATGAGAAAACCTTTAAATGGTTCCTTTATTGTAACCTCTCTACCAAGAGTTCTATTGTTCAGATACATCGATACCATGACATAAATAGAGGAATACCATTAATTGTGTTTGTCAGATATCCTCTTCTGGTGCTCAGAAGAATCAAGGCTTTTTAAAGGTCTCACAGCTTTTATGATTACAAGTGGAATTACAGTTGCCCGTTGGACGCATGAGACTGGCCTTCATCGTTTATTTTCACTCGAATGCCATTTAGTGCAGAAATGTTGGTAGTTTCTTTTTGCATCTTTTTTTCAGGATTACCTGCTCCTATTGATAAGGAGTTCAGGTCATAAAGAGGAACAAGAACAAAAAATATATTTTGTTTACAATGAATAATTAAATCATCTATACACAAGGTTTTAAATCCTAAAAGAGATGGATAATAAATTACATTGTTATTATTATTATTATTATTATTATTATTAATATAGAATTATAACATTCACAGTTAAAATCCCATGCAGAACTTGGAAAATAACATTACTTGAAGATAAACTATAGTCACCAGAATTACTACAGCTTATTGCATTTGTTCCGGTGAGTATTATCAGTCCCTTCAGGCTTTTTGCTGTAAACACTGCCTTTTCAGAGGAAAGACAGTTTTTACATTACAGCCTCGGGATACCTCCAGTGGCCACTTCTCAGATGGCAACTAGAGGTGCTTATAGGGGCAGTGCTGCACAGTGACTAGCACTGCCATTCAGTATCTCCTCCCTCTGCATGGAGACACTTAACTTTCCTCATAGAGATGCATTAATTCAATGCATCTCTATGAGGAGATGCTGATTGGCCAGGGCTAGGGCTGTGTTTGGCTTGTGCTGGCTCTGCACCTGATCTGCCTCCTTGACAAGTTCAGCCAATCCAATGATTTTCTATGTGAAAGCATTGTGATTGGCTCAGAACACCACTTCTGAAGATGTCAGCCAAGCAGGCAGATACGGGGCAGAGCCAGCAGCAGACTGGAACAAAGGTAATATTGTACTATATTTAAAGAGGGAAGGGGGGCCAGAGGGGCTACATTGTGCTTTTAACAAATACTGTGATAAAATTGTTGGGGGTTCTGATGTGCCACTATGATCAAACCCCCCAAATAATGCATAGCAAACTCTTCCGAATAAACAATACCCCCAATGTATACCCTGTGAAGTTACAGTGTTATGTAAGAAACATAAATATTTCAGGGTTTTTTACAGTTAGAAATTATGGGTATAGATGGATTTGGTGGGCTTATGTCTCCTTTTGGGGCATCATAACAGTTTTCTCAAATTACCCCACAAAGGCCTACCATTTGTGAAAGTAGACACTCAAGGGTATCTCATATAGTGGATATTGTGCTTTGATGTGCTGCTATAGTTTCACCAGTTTATGTCAAAGTTTGTGGTAATTCTTTGTTTCTTTTACATACACATTGCATTTTGCTAGGCATTTTTTTTTTTTTTTTTAATTCTTTATTTTTGAGTGCATGGATAGACAAAACAGCTTACTCTGCCACAACAGCGTTAGTAAGCATAGACATATCGTATTGATGTTCCATTTATGGCATTTGAGCAGTGCACATTTTTGTATATAGATGCATGAACAGAACATATATTTATATTGGTTAGGCATTACATTTAAATTTACTAGTTTAATCTACGCTTTATATGAAGAGTATGCATGCTAATCAAGTACAGTGCTTGCAAGTTAACTGTGGGAAACATAAAGTGAGGGCATTGCTAGATATGCTAGGTTATGATATAGGCCCCTGAAGTCTAATCCGCTGTGTTGCCGGTACCTGGCTAGTTTGACTGTATAGATAAGCATATCACTTATAAGTTACTCAACACAAGTTAAGGTCGCATTAGGTGGGCGACATAGTTCAACATGAAAGGATATGGCATACGATTAATATTCGGGCTATTCTACGCTGTAAAAACATGTTATAACATTGCTAACGTTAGTCTGTTTCAGGGAGGTCAGGCTTGAAAATATTGCGAGACATAGTCCTCTATAACTGCATGGATGTGGTGGCATGACAGCAGTCCCGGCCGCAGTGCGGCAGTGAGAGTCAGTGAAAGTCAGCCTACTCCTGTAGTCGGCACTTGCAGGGCACATACTGGAAAGTCCCATGGGGCCTTGGCGTCGCCGATCATGGAAGCTAGAGGGACTCTGCCGTTGCCTCCCGGTCCTGTGTGAGTGCCTTGGGTGGTGGGGGTGTATGCTTTGTGGTGTGACAGTTTCTCTGCTCCCCATGCTGTTTGGCGAGTGTGAGACTCTGTGTGTCCCCTTGATGTGGAGGTAAAGCCCTTCAGAGTGCTGTTTGCAGCTGTGTATCGCTGCACTTGGGTAGAGTGTTGACAGGCTTTTTTGACTTCGCCTGGTGTAGGCCGGGTATAGGCCCCTTGAGTGCGCCATTTTAGTTTGTGGAGCGGCGGGCTGCGTTTGGTGGCTCTCCGAGCCTGTCGGGACTCAGGCTTGCAGTATCGGGTGCTCGGTCTGCTGCCTTTAAGTCTGGGTAGAGCTTTTGTTACCTTCTGCAGCTTCGTGTTGGTTGGTGGTGTAGCTATGCGTTTCAGCGCTGGTAGTCTTGCAGGAGAGGTAGCGGGCAGTTGGGGTACCGCTGTGGCTGCTTGGTTTTGTGCCAGTATGGCCTGCCACCGTGTCCAGAAGAGGTCGAATGCTGCCGCTATGCGGTCCTCCTGAGGGTTCACGCTTGCCAGCTGCGCTGAGAGAGGTTGGACAAGTGGGGGCCTAGAAGCTCGGTCGGCAGTCACCATCTTGGCCTCTGGGTATGTGCTGCTTGCAGTCCTGGGAGCTTGTGGGGTTCTGTAGCCCTGTGGAGTCTGGACCGGGATGACCCCCGCCGGTCCATGGGGGGGGGGACAGGGGCCCTTAGTCGTCAAGGTGGCTAGTCGCGGCGGTGGGAGAGCGGCTGTCCTTCCCGCGCTCGCCTTGTGAGTAGGCTTCGATTGCCGGATCGGTGAAAGTAGCTTGTAGCGCCGTTTGTGGGGTATCATTCTGTTCTGCTTAATGTCCCCTTACGGCTGGTGGCCGTTGTGGCCTGATTAGTTGCTTTTGGAGCGTGAAAATTGCTTTTGAGTGTAGCTTTTTGCAGGAACTTGTGTGATTCACGTCCTCCAGGCTCTGCGGTCAGCTCTACATGACATTTTAACGGTCAATGTCATAATACTGTTTGCTTTTATTATTTCTACTGAATTTCTGTAAATGCACATATTAGACATGTGCGATTTGTTTCATTCCGAATGTACATTTGTACAAATTTCATGCCATTCCCGAAGTCCTGAAGCGCCGAAGTGACGAAGTTCGGTAGTTCGGAAGCACCTGAATCACTCTGAAGCCGATGTGATTCGGATTTCATGTAATATGTGCTCTGTAGTCTGCTAGGCATTTTTAAAATCTAATATGTGCAAACATGATCAGATCTCCCATAATTATGCTATAATTATCATTATACATACCTTTGCAAAGTGACAATATTAATTATATATTTGTCAGGGTCTTACCTGAGTTGGGAGTCTGTAGCGCAGATATGATGCTCACCCTTGCAGATAGCCACAGGCCGAGGTGGTCAGGTAAGAATTCACCTGGCCTGTGGGTCTGTGCACGGGGGCTGTGCAGGATGCAGTACCAATACGCAGGACAGGCAAGGACTGAACCAGCAGGATGGTCGAGGGATAGCCGAGGTCAAAGGATGCCAGAGGACAGGAACAACGAGGAGTAGCCGAAGTCAAGGGATGCCAGAAGTCAGAATAAACGAGTCAGGAAGCCGGGGTCAATAATGCGAAGCGATGAAACAGGAACACTGGAACAAACAGGATCAAGGACTTGACACTGAGCACAGGGCGAGGCTGGGTTTATATACCCTGCTGATGACTGATCAGAGTCAGGTGAAACACAGCCAAGTCAAGGTGCAGCCCCCAGAGTAGTAGCCATGTCAGGATGAACAGGACTGGAATCAGTCTTCACTGTAAATAGCTGCTGTGGCTCAGAGGTAGAAAGCAGGACCAGGACTGAGAAGATCCCCGGTTCAAGTCCCCTGTTGGGAACTCCAAGAGCGACCACGTCTTGCCGTCTGTCTATCAGGTGAGAACCGTGACAGTACCCCCCCCTTTAAAAACGACCTCCGGGCGTGAATGGGTTCATTGTCAGCATAGTACACCTCTCCAGGGTCACTATCTGAATCCAGTGAGTCCCCATAGTCAAACTCCCCAGCAAGGATTCCCTTTACAGCTTGGGAGTCCGCAGTACCAGCTTCTGGTACGGCTGGAGAATTGTCCAGGTCTTTTAGGTTCCGGGTACAGGTGGCAAGCACTTCCAAAACTTTGGCAGGAGCAGTGTTCGCAGCTAACAATGCTTTTTCGAACATTTCAAGGTCTTCTTTACGGACTATAGTGCCATTAGAAGCAACGGCACAATCCACAGGTAAAACCTCTTCGGGCGGGCAGGAAGTAGTGGTGGTATCACAGGAAGCAACTTCGGGAGTAGATGCAGGAGGCTCTGGAGCAGGGGATGGAGGTTTTCTCGCGGAAGCCAAGCATGTGCAAGCACAACGGCTTCTATTTGGCTTTTTAGGCTGGTATGCGGTGTACACAGGGCGAAGGAAACTAGTACCAAGTCGGAGAGCTGGAGGTCTAGGAGGGCGAACAGGACAAAGCGTGATGAAGTGCCCTTTTTCTCCACAGTAATAACATAGGCCATAGCTTCTCCTTCGGTCTTTTTCCTTAGGTGTCACTTTGCAGTGGACGAGTCCTAATTGCATAGGTTCCACAGGGTCAAGTGGAACACCGGATACCTCTGGAGTTTTCCTGGGAGCTGGAACATAAGGAGGCATTTCTGGGGCGTAGTGGTGGTACTCGGTTTCTTGGTTAGGAAGAGTCTGAGATTTTTTTAGTACGTGGAGCTGACTTGGCCACAGTGGTCTTACATTGTGAGTCCATAGCAGTACTAAAGGATTCCCAGCTGACCAGGACAGGACTCTTCGTCTGCAACATTTGGTGAGCCCAAACTTTGATGCGTCCAGACAACAGGTTGATAGCCGCTCTGACCCTGATGAATTCTGTGGCATATGTTCGAGGCTTTAAGGAAAACAACACCTCACAATCCATCTTGAAGGACTGAAAGGATGTGCGGCTACCATCAAATCGGTCGGGCATGATGACAAACGGTTCAGGAAAAGCTGGTTCCGGGGCTGGATGTACTGCGCCTTTAAGGAATAAAATTTCTTGCTGCAGCTCCGAAACAGTCTGGGCCAGGCTGGACACACGCTGGGTCGAGGGTGAGCACATCTCTGCGGACTCCATAATGGTCAAGTCCTTAAGTCAGGGTCTTACCTGAGTTGGGAGTCTGTAGCGCAGATATGATGCTCACCCTTGCAGATAGCCACAGGCCGAGGTGGTCAGGTAAGAATTCACCTGGCCTGTGGGTCTGTGCACGGGGGCTGTGCAGGATGCAGTACCAATACGCAGGACAGGCAAGGACTGAACCAGCAGGATGGTCGAGGGATAGCCGAGGTCAAAGGATGCCAGAGGACAGGAACAACGAGGAGTAGCCGAAGTCAAGGGATGCCAGAAGTCAGAATAAACGAGTCAGGAAGCCGGGGTCAATAATGCGAAGCGATGAAACAGGAACACTGGAACAAACAGGATCAAGGACTTGACACTGAGCACAGGGCGAGGCTGGGTTTATATACCCTGCTGATGACTGATCAGAGTCAGGTGAAACACAGCCAAGTCAAGGTGCAGCCCCCAGAGTAGTAGCCATGTCAGGATGAACAGGACTGGAATCAGTCTTCACTGTAAATAGCTGCTGTGGCTCAGAGGTAGAAAGCAGGACCAGGACTGAGAAGATCCCCGGTTCAAGTCCCCTGTTGGGAACTCCAAGAGCGACCACGTCTTGCCGTCTGTCTATCAGGTGAGAACCGTGACAATATTTTTATTCTTAAACCAAACCTAACTCTAAACCAGAACCTAATCCTAAATCTAATCCTAATCATAAACTTCACCCTAATCCTAACCCGAACTCTAATCCTATGCCTAACTGTAGTCATAATCCTCATCTTAACCCCCGACCAAGGACTTATCAGGTACGTGCGACAAAAAACAGTCCTTAAGGACCACAGACGTAACTGATGCGTCCGCTGGGAATTGGAGCACTGGAAGCACTCTCCAAAATATAGATGGGAAATAGTCCTGATTGTTTGTTGACATAATTGATATATTTATTTTGAAAGCCTATATTATTCAGAATAAACAGCTGGGTGAAACAGACACTGCCCTTCTAAAACGCAAGATGCTAATTATTTCCCCACTTAACATTCATGCAACTCTGTAAAAGCAGAAACATTATATTGCCATCTCTTTAAATGAAGAAAGTGCCTTACAATAAAAAGTCTTTAGCCGGTGGACATGATTCTGGTGTTACCATATTATGTAATGTAAGCCCTATTTTTAATAGTGATATTCTTCAAAGCTGTTTTTGAAGTTAAACTAAAATAGTCTCTTAACCTCTTAAGGATCATATACATTTTGCTCTATACAGGTCTTCTACCATTACGTAAGAGGGACACAATATATATATATAGCCCTACCGAACCATTTTTGTTTTATTCCTTCCTTTAAAAATTGTTAACAATTTACGTTCTATCACTGATAGTGATCTAAACCTTATAATTAGATCTGGAACATTCATCCAATTAATATAAAAGTTATTCATAAAATAGTTACTTTTTATGCACTTTCTCTAGTAATTCACAGAGCCAGTTAATAATATATTTTACAACATATGTTAATACATTTTACATATATATATATATAGAGAGAGAGAGAGAGAGAGAGAAAGAGAGAGAGCGAGAGCATTCTTATAGCTCAGCTCTATGTGAGAACTAAACAAAACCCACTCATAAATGACAAAGACCCCGTTATGAGTTCTGTCATTCATGAAAAGCATGAATGAAGCTTCTTGCTGCAAATATGGTTATGTACCCCGTCGAATCCTTGCCATTTGGATGGTTTGACTTCTAGGCTGATGTCAAGACTGTGATTTTCTTTTTTATTACAGTGAAAAGGGTACATTTTTCAGGACAATGTTGAGTATATAAAATTCTGTAAAATGGTAAATGACCGTATTTATTATATTTGATAAGTTGTCCCATTTCTATTCTGCTCCTTTTAGTTACTTACTGGTGTGTTACTAAGTGCTTTTTCTCTTCATTTAACACAATGAAGTGCTTTTTCATTTTTAAAATATTTTTTGTTAAAAAAATGGTCGTCTTGGCCGTAAAGTTTGAAGACAATGATTGATAAGGATGTGCTACTGACTGTAAGCATAGTCTAAATATGACAGTAAATTAGATTTTGGATATACTCCACGTTTAATAAGGCTCCTGAATTTCAAGAGATGCAGTAACAGTTATTGAATATGAATAGGCATTTGACGTCCAGTTTGTTGTTGAGCTTATCATGAGTAGCAGCGATAACAATATTTACAAAATCAAAACTGACACACCATTAAAATTACCGCAACAAGCTGAACGGCAGATTATTCTTAATTCAACTGTATTGGTGGTTTCTTCCCGTTCTGCTAATAATCGTTGACAGTCC